GTTTCTTTAAGGTTGTTGTAATATTTGTAAGAAAGTTGTAATTTGTATTATGGAGAATTGATGTAATATAGAAGCATATTATATGATGAAAGGGCAATAGGCCTATTCTAGGATTGATTTATGTTTTATGTTTCAAGATGCATGCAAATGAATATTGTGATTGAAATTAGTTTAACCTTGAGAAAGTAAGCATGGATTATGAATATTGATCAAATTGGACATAAATTGTGAAGGGTTGTAAGAGCATCAAGACATTGCTGGTCCTTGAGTGCCACACATGATTATTAGGTACAAAATTGAGGTTAGATAACACACCTTCAAAGGTGGGATTTATTGGAAAAACAAAGGAAACTCTGGCGAAATTTCAAGAAATTGGCAGAATTTCGGTGAATTTTGGGAGAGCATATCTCCCTCCACAAAAGCCCAATAGGGACGTGCCATACACCATTTTAAAGCTTCATATGTCAACTACCTTGTATCTAAATTTGAGAACCAAAGGATAACCATGCAGCCATGTAGGAGGAAGATAACGCAGACTGTGCAAAATGCCCCTGCAAATGGGGCTGTTTCTGGCATTTTTTGAAGAATTTATTCCTGCTTCGTTTCTTGGTCAAATTAGGTGTATGATATGTCAAATTGAATATTAAGGTATCTATTTTACTGTATAAAAATTTGAGAGAAATTGGTTGAGTGGATTTTTCATAATCATTGAGGTAGTGAGGGCTGTTTGGGGCCCTGTTTGAGGATGGCTGGCAGATTTGCTTGTCCAACTTCAAACGGTGATATCCGGAGAAAACGAGAACTTTATTACTCGTGTGATAGCTTGTTAGAAAGGTAATTAAGCCTAGAATAACATACTAAAAGATGTGAGGTTCGTGGCATGCATTTTATCCACAGTAATTAAAATACCGAACCATGTTCGGATAGGTAGAAAACGTAAAAGTGAGATTTTAGCTAAGTAGGTTTATGGGAACCCCTTAGGTTGTGTTTGGTTGGGGAGAAGGAAAAACTTTCCTGGCTAAGTGATGATGGGAATGTGAGTTATCAACGTTTGGTTGGGGATTTTTGTTAAAGTTTGCCATCAATCGCACTTGCCCTGCAATGCAAGAGGAAGTGTAAAAATCAGATTTTAGCACTGTTGGAGATTACCTTTCAACGGGTGGAATTGTGTGAGGAAATCTGATATCTGAAAAAGGTGGATAATGGGGTGACAAATATACCCCTCCTCCATTTTATTGTGGTTCGTATTTTGTAATAAAACAACAGGTTTTTTAAATGAGGATAGTTTTGTAATTTCAAACAATTTTCCCATCAAAATTCTATCTTCAACCAAACATACACTCAGAAAATTTAACCCAATTTCCCCAGTAAACTTTTGCCGAACCAAACAGCTTTTTTTACATTTTCCTACCAAACTCACTTTCCAACCATTTTCCTATCAATTACATTTCCCTAGTATTCAAAAAATTTCTCCCCAACCAAACACTACCTTAGTGACTTGAGAGGAGTATTATACGATATTTAGACAATTTAAATAATTATTCCGCAAAAAGTTTACAGTTACGGTCACAACTTTTATTTATTACGCTTATTTATTGTTTTAAATTCTCGCGTAATAAAAAGGAAAAAGTTTACTCGCATTTTTATAAATGAATTGTTGTGATTGTAACTACGCTTAATATCATAATCAATGTTAATAATACCGGTGTACAACGGGTTGTTACAGTGATGATATGCATACCCATTATCGAGTCCATTGAGTGAGCAAATGAGGGGAATAAGAAGTGAAATGAACATTTTGTCCTATAATAAGATGGTGATTGAGTCCCAAAATTGAGCCCAACTATCCAAGGTACTTATTCAGAATAGGTTTACACTTCAAAATAATATTTTAAAAGTTAATTTAAAAGAAGGAAAATATTTTTTTATGTTGTAGAAGAATTGTTTTCTCCTATAAATGATCCTTCAATTTTTGTGCAGTACTTTTTTTTTTAGTGTTTGGAAATCAATATAAATATTTTTTTATTGGATAATGCCTAGACACTGTCTACTACCTGCCTTACCTTGTAATGGCTTTCTCTAAGAGAAAATGTACATATTCGGGGATCAATTGCGGGACAACGACCAAATTGCCACTGTTTTTACAATTTATTACCAGAATGCCACGACCCTGAAAATTTTTACCAAAGTGCCACGTCAGCAATCTCGTTTGACTGCGTGGCATTTTACGATTTTCCACGTGGCAGGACCTCGTTGGCCATGTAACTAGCTGCGCAATGCAGCGAGTCTACGTGGCATCCACGTAATAGCACGTATCTAGCTGCGCAGTGCAACGAGTCTATGTGGCTGCCACTTGCCCACGTGTCATCAAAAAGTTAAACCCGTTGAACAGATCAGCTACTTAAGTGGACCCACCCAGACTGGTCCCTTCCGTCCCCCTTCCCTACCGCCCCCATTTCTTTCTTTCTCTCTCTCTCTCTCTCTTCCCTCCCCCCTTTCCCTTTCTCTTTCCCCCGTGTATGCATCCTTTCCCTTTCCCCTTCTCTCTCTGGTCCCCCCTCCATTTCCCTTTCCCTTTACCGTCTCTCTCCGGTCCCCCCTTTTCCCGTTTCTTGTTTATTTCTTCTTCTTTTTTTGTATGTAAAGGAAAACTCTTGTTTATTTCTTTCTTGCTCTATTTCCAACTTTCTATTTTTGTTATTGTCATCTGGTGGTCCCTTTCGTCCCTTCATCAAGCGTTCGCATGTAATTTTTTATTTTTTACAGCAATTTTATTTTTTTATTTTAATTTGTGTTTTTTTTTATAGATTACTTATATTGCAACCGGTTATATTGTGCTCACAGGTTAGTGAATATTTTATTTTGGTATAGTTTTATTTATTGTTCTAAATTGAAATAATTTTATTGCCATCTGCACATCATGCTTGTTATCAAAAACCTGGTCTTTATACAACTCTTGACCCATTTGCCAGTTAGGTACTTGCGCTTTGAGCCCAATTGATAGTCGTATATGGCCTATTTGAGACCAAAAAGGAACATTGTCGTCTCCTGTATCAAGACACCACCGCAATAATCGGTGAACATTGTTACACAAGTATAATATTCAATTACTTTTACTAAATTCCGGTTACTAACCTGCCACTTGCGGGTCGTGCCCTCCCCCCGCCCCCACAATGCCCGGTGAAGGAATTGGATGACACATGGCATCGGACGGACATGAATCGAAATCACCCTCCACATCAGTGTCTGATGAGTCACTTTCGGGAATAACCCCTTCATCCGTACCCTCGTCTGAGCTATCTGTATAACACGTCGGATCATACTCATCTTGGGTAGGATGCAATTCAAGTGACATTGGTACCGGTGGTGGGGGTGACATGCATCTATCTTCAGGATTCACCAACGGCTCTCTATTCATGTCGATCAACTGAATTGAATGGTCAGAACGTTGACTGCTGCACTGTCCACCAGAGTCTATTTCCGCATACAACTCAATAAATGTGAAATCTGGATGTAGTCGAAATGCATCTACTACTAAGGCGATATCTTCATCTTCAACAATCTCGACCGGAACTCAACTTTCTTTTCCCGATGCACATCGAGCAGTTAAGCGAGACAGAGATTGACCATGTTGTAATCTTAATTTCTTGTATATTGTCTTCTTCAATTCATTAAAGCTACATCGCGGGCTCATACGAAATAGTTTTGTATCCCCTTCAAAAACCTGCCTATTAGAACCAAAAAAATTTCTCCCATTGTAATAGAGTAATGCAATTACTGAATCATTGTCATCACTCATTTTGAACACTTTTGACTGAAAAAAAAACCAGAACTGTTAATTAATTGAAGACAACAAAACAACACAATAAAAAAAAAAAAAAATTAAATAACCCACACTGATGATGTACAATAATACAAAACCTCAAACAAAATTATATCAGAAGATGGATGGGAACGGGGAGTGGGGGGTATAAATATAACACGAATACTGAGTTGGGCAAAAAAAATGTTCCACGTAGACTAGCTATGCAGCATAGCTAGTTTAACACGTGTCAGAAAAGTTCCACATAGACCAGCTATGCAGCACATAGACCAGCTATGTCAGAAAAGTTCCACATAGACTAGCTATGCAGCATAGCTAGTTTAACACTTGCAGAAAAGTTCCACGTAGACTAGCTATGCAGCATAGCGCCTTACAGACGTGTCAGCCACGGTGGCAGCGGTTAGGAGCCACGTAGACTCGCTGCACTGCGCAGCTAGTTACGTGACCAACGAGGTCCTGCCACGTGGAAAAATGTAAAACGCCACGCAGTGCAGCGAGATTGCTGACGTGGAACTTTGGTAAAAATTTTCGAGGTCGTGGCATTCTGGTAATAAATTGTATAAACAGTGGCAAATTGATCGTTGTCCCATGAATTATTCTTTACAACTAGGCTTCTCACTTTTTCTTAATTGGACCAAATATCTTCTATTAATTGCTTCAGCTTGCAAGGGTTTCAAAACACATTAAAAGTTCTTGGGAATAGGAGAACTCACGTTATATTTTATGGAGTTTGTTTTTCTATTGTAGGAAAATATCTCTTTCCTACACACACTAACACAGAAAGGAGAGAGAAAAGAGTGGTGAGAGAAAATAAAAAAAAAAATATGGGACCCATGTGCTTTTATGTGTCTGTAGAAAAAAGATATTATGTTCCTACAAAATGATACTTTTCTTTCCCTAATATCCATTAAAGTTCTCAATCAATATCAAATAAAGTTCTGTTACATATATCAATTTCAATTCATGTATTTTTATTTTTTTGTTGCTCCTTCAGTGTTTGCAAACCGTGTTTCTCGTTGCTCACAATCTTTCCATTTTACTTTCCCCTTGTGATATACATGCATGGACAACACAAATTTGAGAAATAGCATCATAATGAAAATAAATTATTATAACTGAAAGCTAATTACAAATCATAAACGTCCAAGCTGTTATTCCCTTTTCCTATTGAACCCTGATAGATTAGTTAACTAAATTAACCTATATATATATAGAGAGAAATAAACTTTAATGTGAAACTGAAAAAAAGTAAAGCAAAGAAAAAGTTCAAAAGGGAAAATGGCAGTGGCACAGTGCATGCAACCGGGCAAGCCTACTGAAATAATGTGGTACCACTAGCTACCATCCTCAACACACACTTTTAGAATCCTTTCTTTACTTTATTGATATCAACGAATTTGGCTGCAAGTCCTTGTTTCTGTCCAACTCCAACTGGTTCTTGCAATGTTTCATCGCATCCTGCTTCGTCTTCCACCCATTCATCTCTCACCAAATAATGTTGTTGATAATATCTGAAGGCCACAAATAACATGAAAACTGCATATAACAAAACACCATCCGTTAGTGTGAGTGTGTATGTGCATGAATCAATCAATAGAGCTACAATGCATATCAAAACAATAGAATTGAAGCTTAATCATAAGCTATGAATTTAACCAATATCATTTGAAGTTGCAGCATGGTTTTAATAATTACCTGCCCAAATGCGAGCAACAACTGATGACAAATTCCAAACAAGCCCGAAGATGCCAAGAGCCACGGCTTTCTTGTGAGTGCATGAATCCCATGCATCCCGGAATCGACGAATCCAAAAATTTGCTTCATGTCAAAAACAAAAACATGTCATTTATATTAGAACACTAGAGTAGTGAGGCCCATCAAGAGAAGGCTTGGTTTTTGGCCTTCAAGGACCTACGTAACACAAAGACACTAGTTTTTTAGGTTTGGACTTTGTTAGACTTTGGGATTGGGGACCACTAGGGATGTAGAGGACCATTATGTTATGATCCCACAATTGTGTTCCCTTTACTCCGAAAATCAGTCCCATTGTCAGAGAAAGGCCAATACTAGTAACTGGGCACAAAACTGCGATGAATAAAAAAAAACAAAGATGCTCAGCCATGTGACGCATTGAATTATGTTTCAATTACCATCATCAAAAATTAAATATTCATAGAGACAAAATCTTCAAGCAAATTTAGATTTAGAATTTGATTATATCTTCGGAGGAGGTATAATTGGATGCGCAATAAAATATTAATCTTTGTTTAAAGGCACCACCAGATCTACATTATGATGCATTGGATAAACCACACAATCAAATAAAATAAGATCATAGGTACAAACAAAAGAGCCGTTTCTAACTCCTCATCAATGCATGGATAATCAACGGTTGTGGGCCTAGGCAAGCACTGCACCAACTACACTACACTAAAGAGTAGAGACACGTGGAAGCCTCTACTCACTGCAACTGTACCGATTTTGTTTACAACTTAAAGGTAGAGTGTTATAAATCAAGCATTAAATAATGTTAGGAAAAAGCAACATCAAATTCAGGAAATTACCATAAGCAGTTAACTGTGCAGAATAGGAAGAGCAGATCTTCGGTACGGTAAAAACCCCAAAGAAGCCTGAGGCAACCATGTGTCAGTAATCATTTAAGTGAAAAAACAAATCCAGTAACTGAATAACCAAAGAAAAATAAATATGAAAATGTGGGTAGAGGTGGGCAAGATGCAACTTTCACTCCCCAAGCAAGTGATGCAAAAAGTAACAAACTTTGCATTGACATGGAAATTACTTGTGCGTCGTTTTTCAAAAGAACTAAAACTGAAATGCCAGAAATTTAACCTTTTGACAGTATCGTCACCCGAAACAAGAGTTCTATTTCGAAATGGAATAGACTTAGAAACCCCAACTTTTAAGGCCAATATGAATCCTCTTTTGATACAGTTAATTTTTTATATTAATCATTTAGAAACATACCGAATTTGGCCATCTTCCAAATGGTTATGAGTCTGCCACATCTGGCCAAAACAAAAAGCAAAACTGCCAACTGCAAATTGAAAAAAAAAAATAATTAAGTTTTGGGTGTTCTTCTATGCTACAACATTTCTAATGTTAAGAATAAGAAGGTAATCATATAAACAGTGAGCAAAGAAAATTACCTTAATTGTGGTACCCGGATCTCCAGAAAACAGGGCTTTGAGTTTTGACAGGAATTCATTCAAGTAAGGGAGGATCAATTTTAGCATCCAAATTGCATCTTTTTCTCCCAGTACATAATTTGAGTCCTCTACGTCTATGACTCCCCTGATTAGTTTGATCCAAGAAAGAGGATCAGAAAGAGAGTAATCTTATTATAATATATTTTTCACCACAGTGATTGGGTTATTACCTGCAAATTAGGGATCTATAGAGGAAGATAACAGCGAGATAGACAAGGCCTATGTAGGACATCACAGAAATAAGACTGCAGAAGCAAGGATAGAAATCTTCAGTTCTGGTCCCTCTTCTGGAACAGTGTATTATAACAATATAAAAATACTCTATTTAGTGTGAATTTCTAACCTCAGGTTGATATCCTTTGCATAAGAAGAAGAGACTATACTGAATGTTCCAATCCCGAAGACAAATGCTGATCTTGAAACATCTCTCCACATGACTAAATCCACTGAGGAGGGGAGACATGTATATAACGAATTAATGCTATAATTTGAATAAAATTAAGCGAACAAATTTCACACTCTCCCAAAATTATGAAATTTAGATGAATCACCTAGACTCTGCAACTTGCTTTGGGTTTGTGGAAAGCTATGGCATTCTTCTGGCTTTGGAACTGAACCATAAAGATCACTCACACTTGTTAAATAAGCATATATTAAACCCAAAAAAAGATTGAAAGAACAATCTCTTGAGGAAAATCAAAAGTCCTTACTTGAATTTGCTTCGGAGATATTTTGGTAAATTGTAGAATTCCTTCTAATTGTAGGAGATTGCTTCAGAGCAGGAGGGACAGAAACTGGTCTTCTTTCATTTCTGTGATGAAATCGCATGTGAGCACTCACAACCTTCTTTGGTTCTGGTTCGTTCACAACCTTCTTTGGTTCTAATTTGTTCACAACCTTCTTCTCCGGTTCATTCACAACCTTCTTCTCCAGTTCATTCACAGCCAGCTTCTTCTCCGGTTCATTCACAACCTTCTTCTCCAGTTCATTCACAATCTTCTTCTCTGGTTCATTCACGACCTTCTTCTCTGGTTCTGTTTCATTCACGACCTTCTTCTCTGGTTCATTCATGACCTTCCTGTTTTCTGGTTCATTCACAATCACCTTCTTGTCTGGCTCATTAACAACAACCATCTTGTCTTGTTCATTCACACCAACCTTATTATTTTCTGGTTCCTTCACAACCTTGGATTCTGGAATACTAATTTCCTTCACATCAAAGCTCTCATTTTCCATCTCAATCTCAACCTGTTCTTCCACCACCTCTTCCTCCACCTCTTCATCTCCTTCATCATCAATAACATAATCTGAATCACCACCAACCCGAACAGGCAATTCTGATGAACTTTTGACAACACCGACATTGTCTGAAATGCTTGACATCACCTTCTCTTGGCACACATCATCAAAATCCTTGCAATTTTCGTCAGTAGTTTCCTTCATCACATTCTCAACTTCAATCTTTTCCCACCCACCATCAGATCCATCGATCCCATTTCTTGATTCATCTGGAACTTGATCACACTGGGATTTCGTCTTCCTCAATTGAACTGAATTATTGACAGACCCAGAAGCATTCTTCTTAATTGAATCTGATTTGCTCTTCCTCAACAACCCTGAATTCCTCTCATGCCCCTCACCTGATTCACCACTTTCTTTGCCAAGCTCTGTAGCACCCTTCTGTGTTTCAGATCTTAGCTTTCTGGTGTGAATTGGGCTTCTCTCAAATTTATCTGCAGAAGCACCAATCTTTCTGGTGTGAATTGGGCTCTTCTTGATTCCATCAGAAGAAGAAATGTTCAGCTCCTTGCACTGCTCCTCTGAATTCTTCTGGCTCTCTGGTTTTCCTTTTGTTACCTGAATTGGGCTCTTGTCTAACCCCTCAGAGCTCTCTGATTTCCAAGTTTTTCTCTTTCCAGAAGTAGCACATCCAATTCTTTTCAATTTGGAACCACCATTCCCTACTCCTTCTGCAGGATTTTCTTCTGCATTGAAGACCTTGATTCCCCCTCTCACTTCATCACTCTTCATTCTGCTCTCCCACACAGACCCTGCAACCACACTCCCTTTAACCCCTCCTCTTCTTTTACTCACTTCCATCGCCAATTTATCTTTTTTATCTCTCTCTCTCTCTACCTGACATTCAGTACTGTAATGGGTCATAGGTCGTTAATGGATAAGAGGCTTCCAGCTAAAGCAAGGGCGGTTGGTGGGGGGCAACATTGTGATCCCATTGTAAAGCAATTCAGAGAGAGAGAGAGAGAGAGAGAGAGAGAGAGAGAGAGATCAGATTTAGGAAGAGACAGTAGTTGGTCACTTTTTTTTTCCTCCTTTATTTCTTTTTCTTTCTTGATGATCACTAATGTTTATGAGGGAAGGGAAAAGCGAAGGTAAATTTGGTGGGGTTGGAATGATTAGGGTGTTAAGGATGAACACTTTTAAGCATTGATTCCCTAAAATCTCTATATCACTCTTACCGAGGCACCCAAAAAGTCATTAGTTTCACCCTCACATCACATGTATTTGTATAATAGCCAGCAGCATATATAATTTATCTCCGAGATAAGTGTGTGTGAAATCTGCGGTGTACTTGCTGAATTGGAGTGTTTTTCTTTTGCTATTTTGTCCTTGCCAACATGTAATACAGGAAGCATAAAGAAACTGCAAGTAGTACCGTGCCAGAAGATCTCACAAACACCTCTAATTTTGGCCAATTTTAACTCTGCTTCAAGGATGTGAATACTAAATTTTCATTAATGTGTGTGTGTAGTTGGTTAATGACTGCTGCTCCGGAATTTCTATTATGGTTTTTTTAACACACAAACAGGGTTCTCTGCGGTTTTACAAATCTATAGAGTTAAAAAAAGAAAATTTTCCATAAAACAATTACACTAAATTTGGTATAAAAGATATGCATCCTTGATGCAAATGCACAACCTCCCAGTTCTTTTCTAGCCAGCAGGTCATCGTAGTCTTCTAATTTGGGGTTCTATAATTTTCTTCTATCTGCATTTATATAATAAAATAAAGTCTTTTTCTACTGGGAGTAAGATAGTATTAATTTTTCTATAGCTTAGATATTTTTATTCTAATTCCCTCTCCCCTCTTAATTTTTAACTTTTTTATATTAGAATTTCTTTTTTTCTCAAATTTTACAAATTAATCTCATTTTTTTACATTAGAAACTTCTTTTTCACTCCTGAATCTCAATTATATATAGTGTCAATTTATTTTTAATTTTAATTTTTTACATTAGTTTGTTTTTTTCCTTTCTGAATCTCAGATGTTCAATTCCTATAATATTAAATTAGAATATACTATATTGAGAGTGATTTTGTCTTTTAGTTCATTCTACTTTAAAATGAAACATGTTATTCTTAGTTATTCTTTTTATTTTTTTATTTTAAGTTTAAATTATTTTAAATTAATGATTTATATCCTCTTTATAATTTTAAATATTTTTTTTAGTAATTTTCTTTTAATTTATAATTTTACATTTTAATTAAATTTAACATATTAAAGAAAATATTATATCCTCCTAATAAATTTTCCAAACATTCTTCTAGATATTTTAAATTTGAAACAAAAAAATATTAAATAAAAATGTTTCAACATTTAACATATTTAAAAATCATATTGCCTATACCATTATGGGTTAGGTGCGAGACCATCACGCGTGCGTTTTCTGTCTCTCTGCTAGGTTTTTGCGATGTCATCATCAGAGATTCTTATGAGCAGTTCTTTAGAGGTCCCCACAATAGTCAAAGTGAATTTGCGAAAAAGTGTGAAAAGATCTAAGGATGGGGAGGAGTTTAACTCGGACTCTTCTATTCGAGGAGCTGGCCTGAGTGTTTTAACAGATTCTCCTTCAAGTAGGAAACAAATATCCTTTCTGGATGCTTTGAGGAAGGATGACAATATTTTGGGAGCAGACTCGAAGGGCTTCGAAAATATGGAGGAGGACATAAGCGTTCCACTCGACCCAAAGTTGGGAGTAATTTCAGAATGGGGCTTCCAAACGATTTACAGTGAAGATGGTTCGGTGACAATCCCCTGTTCAGAGGAAGCAAAACAAAGAATGAGGAAGCCTTGCGAAAATGCCCTAATTGTTAAGCTCTAAGGTAAAAAGGTTGGGGTTTTGTATATGAAGAAAAAACTGGATAATTTGTGGGCGAAGTATGGATCCATAGTGGTAGCAGATATGGGCAATGAGTTCTTTTCTGTAAAATTTTCCAACCTGGAAGATCTCAACATAGCAATCAATGGTGACCCATAGGTGTTGTTGGGACATTACTTAGCGATAAGGAAATGGGAGCCTTGCTTCAACCCAGCTAAGGCTAACATCCACAAAGTAGCGGCGTGGATTAGGCTGCCGGGAATCCCCCAAGAATTTTGTGAGTACCCTTTTCTACTTCACCTTGGTAATTCTGTTGGTAAAGATATCAAAGTGGACAAGACTACCTCTACTGGTGACGGAGGTAAGTATGCTCGTGTTTGAGTGATTTTAGATCTGTCCAAACCCCTGAGGGATGAATATTATATTGAAGATGATTTATTTCGAGTGGAATATAAGGGTCTTTACCTCATTTGTCTAAAGTGTGGGAGGTATGGCCACAGTTCTGATAACTTCCCTGATTATGCTAAGCAAGCCCCTGTGAGTGACAACCCTGTTAGATGTGAGAAGAAGGTGAACATGCCTTCAGGTGTTCAGGGCGTAGGCCCTTGGATGGTGGTGCAGAAGAGAAAACCCAGAAATCCTCCTATAGCCAATAAATCTAATGGTAAGGATAGATCTTTTGGTGAGGATATTCCCAATAAGGTTAGTAATAATAACCTGGGTCAGGATACCTTGAAAGGGAAAGGTAAAAGCACATTGAATTCTCTTTCCTTTGGTGGTTCCTCTGGGCCGGGGACTTTAGTCTCCAATAATAACAAGAGGCTCTCTAACCCTCAGCATGTTGTTACTACCACGAAGAAAGATAATGTCAAAAGTTCTTGAAAGAAAACAGGAAAGCCAAATCCTGATAGAAATAATCCAAAGCCAATGAAAGTTAATTCTTTTTTCGTCTTCTCTACAAAGGCCAACATATCTGCTGACCCTCCTAGAGGTAAAGAGAGTTCCATCCCTACTCCTGTGGTCAGCCCAGTTGTGGTTGATAACCCTCTGAAGTCTCCTGTTGCGGGTTTGGATAAACTGTCTGGGAATACTATTGAAGGAAAAGGGTGTGAGGAACTAGCAGGGGAGAAGCTTCAATGTTCAGAGAGTAATGTTTTGGTTTCTCCTAACTGTATAGCTGCTAAATTAGAAGAAAAGGTTAGAGGAAAGGTTGTATTGCTGAATGAACCACCTGATTTAACTATGGCTATTGTTCCCTCTGTGTTAGAGGAACAAGAAGGTATGGATATGGATAAAATCAATAATGAGGTCATTTATGAGCCTATGGAAGAGAGTAACTAGGAACTCTGCAATCCTTGACAAACCAATTGTTCCCAATTAATTGTCTTGTTTGGAATTGCAGTGGAGCGGCTAAGAAACCGTTCAAAACTACCCTATGCAATTTCATTAGGAAGTACAAGATAGGTTTGGTTGATGTCCTTGAACCGAGAATTAGTGGGGCTATTGTTCTTAAGAAAATAAAGCAGCTTGGTTTCAAGTTGTTTATTATAAAGGATGTTGTTGGCTTTGCTGGGGGTATCTGGATCCTTTGGAAAGAGGATTGCTGCTCCATTTTTTTAATTGAAAAGAATAATCAATTAATTCATTGCTCTTGTATGAGCAGCTTAGGTGTCTCTTTTCTGTTAACTATCATTTATGCCAGCCCAAAAGAGGATATTAGGGAAGCTTTATGGGTTAATCTCAAGAGAATCAGTGAATCTGTGGAGGGTCCGTGGATGATGATGGGTGATTTTAATGAGATTGCCTTAGCTAAAGAAAAAAGATGGCGTTCCTGCTAATCTAGCTAGATGCCATAAATTTGCTTCATTGTTGAATGACTGCAATGTCATTGATCTGGGTTGCAGAGATTATAATCTTACTTGGAGAGGTTCCAAATGGATCCATTTGGACAGAGTCTACAAGAGGTTGATAGAGTCTGTGCTAATGCCGATTGGAGAACTACCTTTGTTGAAGCATCAATTAGAGCCTTACCAAGGCTGAACTCTTATCATAATCCTATTATTGTCTCTCTTTTAGCTCAAAATAAAACCTGGAGAGAAAGACCCTTCAGATTTTTAGCAGTGTGGCAAGATTATCCCTCTTTTCTGGATTTCCTTAGTGCTACCTGGTGCACTAATAAAAGCATCGACATCAGTCTTTATAGCCTGGTCAATCCTCTTACTTCCTGGAATAAAAATGTTTTTGGCAACATACATGCTAAAAAAGAGTTGTTGTTGGATAGACTTAAGGAGCTGCAACTCAACCAGGCTAATCTTCCTGATGATTCTCATTTAGCTTCAGATAAAGCTCTTCAAGAGGAGCTTAATATGGTGCTTCAGCAGGAGGAAGACTTGTGGTTTCAAAAAGCTAGATGTAAATGGATTGAAGATGGTGATCGAAATACCAAATTTTATCATACCACCACCATTATCAGGATGGCTAGAAACAAAATCTTAGAGTTAAAAAATGAAGAGGATCATTATGTTAGAGATGAAACCAATTTGGTCAACTTAGTTCTAAACTTTTATACCTCTTTGTTCATTGAAGATAATCACAATAAGCCCTGTATTGAGACCAAGACTTCCTGGGAGGCTATTAAGGAAGGTGATTTTATCTCTACGAAGGAGAATATCTCTTGTTTAGAGATCAAAGAAGCTTTTTTTGCTCTGGGGGCCTTAAAAGGTCCGGGTCCAGATGGGTATCCTACCTTATTTTTTCAGAAAAACTGGAGTGCTGTGGGTAGGCAGACTTGTGAGCTTGTGGGACAACTCTGGAAGAACCCTGAAGGCATAAAGGCTATCAATAAAACCCTCCTGGTCTTGATTCCTAAGCTTAACAAGCCTGAAAAGATCTCTCAACTCAGACCAATAGCCCTTTGCTCTATGCTCTATAAAGGCATAAGCAAGATTATTGTGAGCATGCTGAAACCTCTTCTCCAAAAGCTTGTTTCCCCCCACCAAGTCAGCTTCGTGCCAAATAGACATATTCAAGATAACATAGTGATTGCCCAAGAAATGGTCCACTCTATGAACAAGATGAGAGGGAAGAGGGGTTTTCTTGTAA